TTTGAAAAAATATTTCACCTCACTAGTTTATTTTTGATAAAATATTTTTTGACTAAAATTTATAAACTATTGGGAGATTGTTGCAAAATTTTTTCCTCTTATGGAGATTTATAGATGACTGAAAAAAAAAACTTTCATTCAAACAAGACTAACTACGACTTTGAGCGTTCATTGTAACAAGATGACAGCCACTAAGTCTAAGGGAGCAGGCTACAACATAGTCAAATACAACAAACGTGATGACATTTTACTCTGTGAGAGACAAGTGAAAAGCAAGTTGAAGACCATGGATCTCGGCAAGATGTTAAGGTCAAAATTATTTTACTACAACGACAATACCTGGAAGTATATGCAAAAGCAAGCAATGAGAATCGTCATACTTCATTTGCAATCTTTAATTATTAAGCAAGTGGATGAGTATGGCAGATGTATTTTTTAGCGACAATTTTATCTCAAAAAACTGTCAAACAAGTTGTATGCTTTCTTGAAACTGATGAGCTTCAAGATGGAAATTTTTGGCTCAAAGATCCAAAATCACATCTATGCAATTGGTTTTGAAAAAACAAGTCAAGAGAAGTTGATTTGTACATTGCTAAAATCATTATATGGATTGAAGCAAGTTCCTACGTAGTGCAATGCAAGATTTGATGAGTTCATGAAAGCACAAGATTTTTCACAAAGTGTCTATTATTTTTGTGTAAACATGAAGAAGATGATTAATGAGTTCTTTAATCTTATTAATTTTAATACTCTACGTGAATAACATGCTCATTTTGACAAAGTTTTGATTGAAGGTATTTAAAATGAATGACTTAGATAAGTCTAATGAAATATAAAAGACCAATATTCATAAAAATTTGATGAAAAATAGATTATGATCCACTCAAGTCAAGTGAATCTCAACTTAAAATTTGACATGTTTGATATGATAGACTTTAAAAAGATATGGACTTCTTAAGCAGTACATTTTATACTTTCCGTAGCTCAATGTTCAACTAATGTCATTGAGAAAGTAAAGATGTTATGTGTTTTCTATGACAAAATAATGAGGAGCCTCATGTATTTGATGGTGTGCTCAAGGCCTGATATTGCTCTAGCAATGGACAAAATGAACATATACATGTAAAAACCAAAAAATATCCACTTGAATATAATGATATTAATCATTTGCAGAGTACAAAATATTATAGTTTATTGTTTGATGGTTTATAATACAGCATCACATATTTATTAGGTTACATTGATGTTGATCATGCACAAAATTTGGATCAAAATAGATTTACAACTATGTATGTAATTACACTTGATGTTGATTGTATTAGTTAGAGATCTATCTTGCAAAAGTGTGTAGCTTAGTCTACAACAAAAACTTAGTATGTAGTGGTAGTAAAAATAGAAAAAGAAGCTATGGTTAGATAAGCTAATCTTTGAGATGATATTGAAACAAGAGTTTGTCAATCTTCTTTGTGATAATAAGAATGCATTACATCTTATTGCAAATCAAGTGATGGATAAAAAAGTGAAATACATCGATAACAAATATCACTTTATTAGACATGTAGCTTCTGATGTATGGATTAAGTTAGTCAAGATTTACATAAATTCAATCGAGCTAATGTATTGACCAAAGTCATTTTTTTGGAGAGCTTTAGAATACATTGTGCTATTATGTAGGTTTTGCATGATGAGCACAAATAAAGCTTACTAGCATTGTAGTTAACACTATATATGTTTTTTAAGTTATCATGATTTGAACGGGTATTAGTTCTAGTTAGCTCTAGTTTTAAGTGGATTTTGTTAGATTTTCTTCTAGTACTTCCTGCAGAGTAATAAGATTGGCTGAGTATGATGTTTCTTGGACATGTGGATTAGATGTACTCGAACAGTTGGTTTAGCGTTTCACACAACTCGTTGTGTCTCTAATGTACTATTTAGGGCAGCAGTCTCCTCGTCGTGCCGAACATTTTATCTTTATGTTTTTGAGTACGTAGCGGAAGTGAACCACGCATCATGTGTGTCTTCTCACGTTTCTACATTTTATGTCTCGTGCTTTTTTACAACAGATGTTACATTTTTCTATCTAATATATAAATGAACCATTACCAAACTCGACATTAAAAGAGTAAAGTACCATGATTTATTTTGATGATGATTTCACTAAAATTTCATATATTTATTTATCAATCATACTATTGGATCAGTGGTAGGCAAGTTTGAATTAGACAAGTCTGAAGTGTCAAGCTTGTGGAAAGGAATCAAGAATTTAAAGTTCCCTTCAATAGTATCGTGCAACTTTTTGTTTCATGAGGGGATGTTACATCGTGACTCCGATTCTCATATTACCGTCTGCATTGCCCTGTATATATAGTGTACTGCGGGTTGTGGGAAGTTCTGGCGGTTGCCTCTTCGCTGTAGATGAACTTTGTTTATTTATTCGTTTATTTCCTGCGAAATTAAGAAAAGCGATCCCGGTATTCTCTCGTGAGAAGGACACAGCTGACGTAGCAAAGAGTTTGTGGTCGGGAATGAGCATCTAAACTACCAGTAGTATGAGAGAATGAACGCTTACTCTAGATATTAGGGGTTCAAAATACATAAGTAACTTCTGACGTCTCCTTAGATGTCACCTCCAGCTCACTACTGTGTTTACTGAATAGGCCAACGCTCCCACACTGTTGGAATTTCGCCACTATCCGAGGTACTACACCCAATCACGCAAGGAGACGGGTTTCAGGGATTCCAAGAGCCACACATGAAGAAAGACGTAGAGAAATTGAGTACCTCTGTGATCCAACAGTACTGTAGTTCGAACATACAGAGTAGGAACATTATATCAAACTACGTGGAGTATGCAAGAGTGTGACAGAATAAATGACAATTCATTTTGCACTTTGCAGTCATCCGAAAATAGAAGAATATGGCATTCTGCCATATGGTTCACGGCTATTGGCAAGTGAGGGTATTTGGACACTTGAGAAATAGGATCAAGGTAAGATTGTGATGGGAGAGTGTCTGTCGGCAATGGTTTGTTTTTAGTGAAAAGTTTTGACTTTTGAAAATTCGGTGTTAAATTAAGTACATGAGGAAAAAGTGCTTTTCACGATATGTACAAGCAAAGGTGGATCACTGTATGAACTGTGCCGATATTATTGGTATGGTGGCGAATGAACGTACGGTTCTCTTCAGCTGAACCATGGTGATTGAGTGGACCCGGAGATATTAAGCGAATAAGTTTTATTTTTAATAAGAATTCAGGCAGACTTTCCTAAGCTGCACCCTACCCAGGAGAAGCCTCCGTGCCACTAGCACTAGGAACAGCTCTGCTTACTCATTCTTGTTTTATCCACCACTTTCGAGTTTCATGTCGCCAATCGATAACGAAAAGCATCTAAGGACTGTGGTTTGTCTCAACTTAGCTTGTAATCCATGACAATCGTTCGCTGTCGGGCATTCATGCTATCATTGACGGGCATAACACAATGACTACTGAGTCTAGCTCTTCTGAAGCGCGAAAAGTACGTGAACTGGTATATTTTAGAATCGAAGGCTCATATTTAAGGCTCAATAGACACTCTTTACCTACCGGAAGTTCAAAAGCATGACATTTGTGAAATACTTTAAAAGGATTTCTTACCGGGTATTAATCTTGGGTTAGGGTTGCTCGCTTCCTTGCACATGTTTTCGAATAACCTGATTATGTTAAAAAGGAAGTAACTGACAAAGATATATGAACGCGATTTTGTCCACGGCTTAAAGCATGTCTAATATTGCCACTATTGAGAGTGACCTTATTGTACCAGCAAGTTAATTTTATCATGGAAACTTAAGTGCTTTCCTTTGCTGAAGATATTAACGGTCCTAGTTAATGAATCAAGTGGTATTTTTTTTCCCGATCATACGGTCACTACTTCCTCTGGCCCAAGGAAATAAGTCACTAAGTAAACATACACACACTAGCACATTAAAATCCAACCTGATGGTAATTTTGCTGATCAGTTTTTTTACCAAGAGCACTAGCTTGTGCCTTAGATAGGAGAATAATCCTGTTAGGTGATACGACGTTACATATTCACAGCAGATAATTTGATGTTCATGGATAAATTCTGCAGCTGCTATAGGATAAAAATTTTAATTCTGATAATTCGTTGTTTTTACTCGGTTTAATAAGTGGGGGTAGCCCCGTTTTTGTTATCTAATTGGCGCAATGAGGAGGAGGGGATCAGATTTCTCCTCCAATGTTATCAATTAGCCATCAATGGCTAATTGTTTCCTTTTCCATTCGTTCACAATCTAAGGATATAGACAGAGAATCTAATTAAGTCAAGTGCGAACATACATTCCGTCAGTAACACTTGAGGTCAGATGGGATATCGCTATGGAGATCTAACTGTTCGTCCACCAATTCAATTTCAAAGTTGAACTGTTACAGGGAATGATGAGTCGTTCCATGCTACAAGTTGGATCCTTCGAGTATTACAATCCTTATATACTGCCCAGAGGGCATTACTAAGAACTGTGCTTAAAATTGCAGTTTCCGACTTTATCGTTTTAACATTAGACAAACAGACTTATATGTTCTTGGGCTTTGAGCATGTGAGAGAACTTAGTGGTACAAGCTTGCGTCTGACAAGGGCATTGCTGTACATTCTTCTAAGGATTGGCTTAAGATGTAAACGGGTGCGTCTGAGGTCACCGAAGCGCGACCCGTTTCGAAACCTTCTAAAACTCACTTTCCTATTCATGAGGTTTGGACCTGTCCGTGACATCCTGAAAGATTTGAAGCTTACAACTTGGTATGAATGCAGAGCTCACGAGTCTGCAGCGTATGTTCCAGCGCGATCACAAGGCGCACTGCAATGATCATGGACACCAGACGTACAGGATGGACATCCAAAAGGTACACAGTTATCTGGACGAAATAGGAGTCACCAACGTAGATACGCCTAGCTAGAATCAGGATACGATTCGCAATACGAACATACCATGGACCCCGCCGACGGATGGAAAATCATTTCGATTCCCCCGGTGCACGCCAACGGGAGGCTCACCGAACGACAAGGGCAGGTTCACCGAACGACGACAACAATGTGACTGTCCCAGAGGCGGCACCGGTGGCCGGTCATGCTTTTCGTCCCTCGGGCAGACGCCGGACGGGCAAAGAGGAGTCGCATGGCCATGCTAGGCTCGAGCGTGACCGCGGTCGGAAGGATTCCCCGTACGTCTGCGGGAGACAACGATATAAGAGTTCCACGGCCTGCGCACGTCAAAGTTTGGTTGGGAAGGGTTGGGAAGGGTTGGTCGGTTAACTGAAGGCCAGCACACCGTTCAGCGCATGATGTTCGAATGTTGTTGCGAGAAACGCGAATCTACAGACTCCGAGCGGGCAATCAAACATTTCCGTGCCGAAAGGACGAAACATTTATGATTCTACGTGTTTTGTTCTGCGGTCTTTCGTGCGTGAAAGAGTGTGGCAATGATCTTTAGGCCGATCGTATATGGCAAGAACATCTGGCCTCCGGGAATGCGGATACGCGCTACCGTGAAGGGCCTTCAGCCACCCATGAATCCTCGATAGTATGAAATCCTTCAATTTTACACGCCCAATTGCTTCTGCCTCCAACGCAACGCGCCCCGGCCCGCCCACGTGCTTGCCTTCGTCCCTTCCTTCCTTAGACCCAGACGCTTCAGCTGTGGATTTTGCCGATAACTTCCGGTCCAGTGTGCTCTGATCCGTTTGGTGCGGCTGCGTTTGTTTCGATTCTCGAGTGATGAATTGAATACTGGGATCTTGGAGAATTTGATCTCAGACCTTCCTGACCCTCGAGGGAAGGTCTGAAATTCGAAGGAGAGGAAGGACGACAGTGAATTATATTCGCAGCATGAATTGGGATGCCAGTCCTGGAGTTGTTTGATGATCGCCCTGCATCATATATGATTGCAGGATATCAGAAAACCTTCCAGAGACACAATTATCGTTTTTTTTTCTCCCTTCAAAGGCAAGTATTGCGCCATTTCTTTGTCCGTTGCAAACAGGTGAATTGCCTCCGGGCTGGGATTGCGAGGCCACGTATACTAGAAACTTTCGAAAATCATCTTCTCACCAAGAATTGGAGATCACCATGCCAGGCGTGACACTGGAGCTTTCAGAGCTCACATCAACGCCTCCCAAGGCCTCCCCGCCCAAGAGTGGTAGTCCGACCCCAGCTTCTACACTTGCGGTAAGCTTTCAAATCTCTTGCTCAAATTTATCTAGGAGAAACAAATGCATTGTACGCATGAACCTCGTGTCATGATTCCTATTTTGCCTCTTTTTCATTTTCTTCGTGTTCTCTAGAGAGTTTCCCCGTAACTTCTTTGGAACTCGTGACATTGCAGTTATGCATTCCATGTACTGGAAATATAACAGTCAGCTGGTATCAAACTTCCCGGTAGTGCTACGGTTATACAAGAAGGGGCTAAAATTTCTCATCACGATAGTAGCATAATATGATATATAATATGTCTGGTACAAAGAAAGTGTATCGAGATCTCGGTGGCACGGCATGCTTCTGGCTTCGTGTCTCAGTGACACGAAACTATTACGAAACTAGACACGAAACTAGCTAATTCTGACGCGAAACTATCAAAGTGAATGTTGGCCCGTTGAGGTCATCTTCGGCCTCGTCAATTTGGCATGGTGTACAGAGTGCTGCACATCTTTGACGTTCTGATGCCTGTTCAGTCTGAAGCTACAAACGATTGTAGGAAATCCAAATTGAGTCGTCACTTTCTTCAATTTGATCGGCGAGAATTGATTTTTGTTGCTCTGATTAGCAGATCATGCATGATCAGCAGTGAATTTTTACATACGTAGCTCAGAGGCTATCATAAATAATATATCTCTTCCAACATGCAAATGAGGAATTTGTCTTTATGTGTAAACGCTAGAGGAAGCCAGTTATATGCACTTGCCAGGCAAATGAGTTTCAAAAGTAGTCAGAGGAGCTCAGAAAGTGATCGCTTTCGAGATGACGCGATGACACGTTTTATATATATATATAACACAAGTGTATGTCATTATATGCAAAAATATTCAGATTTCTGAGTAAACCTGAAAATATCTGAAGGTGCGATGGCGGCAGATTTGGGCTGATCATCATAACTTCTAGATCCAAGATGTCCCGATCTGTGTTTAGAGAATACATCTCTTAAAAACATCTCGAGAATCTGTCTTTCCTCAACCGCTTCCTCAACGATTTTAAGCCCCAAAGCGACTATGTTCCATCTAGCAACTCCTTGAAGCCAGGTTCTAATGAAACATCATCTGGTTGAAACTAAGACCCACCTCAAATAACACGAGTTGGAAGTATCTGTCTGAGCGCTGATGGAAAATCAGTATGAATTGTCCTCTTCTGTTATTGAGTGCACACTGCGACAGTGCTCATGAGCTTAATCAACTTAATCAAAGATAAAATCTCTTTTACAGTGATTCAGATGTTGAAAAAGACCCTCATGTTATGTTGGAATTACAGGTGAGGCATAATGACGGCGACCATTTGCTGGTGTTTGAAGGCAACGGTTTTTCTTACCTTTCTGTTCCTCCGCTCATCTCATCACCCACGGAAGAGGAAAAAAGACTTTGCTTCTTGGATCACCGCAGAGAGGCGTGGGATCCCATGTCCGACATGTGCTGCGTACGAGATACCGGACACGTGCATGCCCATGTTCACCATGGTGAAATCACGGAAGATATTCTCCTTGAGCAGGTAGAACCTAATCCCGTTTGAATTGCACATCTGCTTAAGCTTTCAAGGGTTGAGACATACATACCTTTTTAGGAGACTTGATTGCCGCCGACGGATCGCCTCTTACTGCAATGCCGAATATTTTAACATCTCTTGTATCTTCTATTCACTTGTCATGAAGTTCGGAATCCTAGAAGAATTTATTCATATACATCTGAGTTGATGAGCATATTTTGATATTATGATTACATCGTGATGTCTTGCTGAAGCTCATAACATATTCTGAATTAAGTGGTGACATGACATGGATCAGCATGTTAATTACTCTCGGATGCAAATGGCTTCGAGTATCAAAAGGGGAACATGCTATTGAAAACTTCAGTCTCCTTAGTTGCTGCGTTGTTGTTCTTACAGTGTATGGAAGAAGCAGGGTGTGCTTTGCCAATGCCGTGGGATCTTGGAAGCATTTTAACTCCAATTTCTAGCGGTGATGATTCAGACCATGAACACCAAGAAGGATGTGGCCACAATAGAATAGCCCATGGTGATCACTTCGACTGGCTCATTCCTCTCGAAGATGGCTCGTACGTCTTGAGCCATGCTCAAGAAACTGTTGAAGGTGGTTCTCAATTTATAGAGCATGGCAGGCTTGTGAAAGTGGGGGAATCTCTAGGCCAGCTGAAACGAAGGCCAAAACAGCTGGTCGACCTGTTCACTTACGAAGGACCCAAAAGAATAGGATATGAAAGTCTTCCTAACGCGGAAGCTGATAACATCAACGAAAAAGGCATCATAGCCATTGTGAAGTCACCATCTCATGGCTGCATGACCTTAGCTTCTCCTGGAGCACCACTGATTCAAGAAGAAATGGTTAAATTGAGTATACCCAGAGGGTTCAAGGGCCCGGGAATGACCAAGACAACTTTTGATGTGATGGGAATATGCTGTCCTTCAGAGGTTCCGCTCGTCAAGAAAATACTGGAGCCTTTACCAGGTGTTGAAGAGGTTGCGGTGAACCCAACCTCCAAGACGGTGACCGTAGTCCACGATCCAACTATTATGGCGGATGTGCAACTCGGTATATTATACTTCTTCTCTATATAACTATGTCTTCTCTATACTTCAGCTGGCCCTGATCCCCTTGAACACATATATAGTCTAGGTGACTTGATTACAGATCAGATAAAACAAGTTTACATCACTCTAATATTACCAAGAATTTAAACTTTGAAAAGCCTTTCAAAATGTCAAGACGCCCGGCTTGCTAATTCTACTCGCTTCGGGTGTGTTGAGCAGTGAAGATTTTGAATGAAGCGAGATTGGATGCAACAATTCATCGGCGTGGTGTCAGGAGGATGACTCATAGATGGCCGAGTCCGTGGGCCATAGGCTCAGGCCTTCTTATCATTGTGGCATTTTTCCACTACGTTTGGAACCCATTGAAGTGGGTTGCTCTGGGCTCTGTAGCTGTGGCAGCTCCTCCCATAATCGTCCGCAGCTTGGTGGCCCTACGCAGATTCGTACTGGACATCAACTGCTTGATGCTCATAGCAGGCGAGTAAAATGATGAAGTCTTCTGAGTTATCTCCTTGTAACCCGGTACTCTTCCAAAATTTTGGCTAGTTCGTAGCTATATCTCAGTTCAGTCAGATAAATCACAAGCCAAGCTTCGAGTTTCCCAATGTTCCGCGTTTAGTGTTCAGGGGTAGATGCTGTCTCATAGTCCAACCTTCTCCATCAACCAGTTATTGGCTTGCCATTTACTTCTCTCGTGCGTGATCACATGCGTGATCTACGTATTATTTACCATTTGCTCGAGTACAAGACCAAAAAGACCTTGTTCAAAATCTGCGAAAGTCACGAACTCCACTTTTCTTTGTTAATGTATCTGACATTTGCTGATGAATTTAAAAGTTTGGAGGTGAAATCTCTCTGACTCCGGCCTTGTTAAACATTCATCAGTTGGTGGTGCAATAGCGTTGGGTGACTACTTGGAAGCAGGGTCTATTGCTTTCTTATTCACTATCGCAGACTGGTTGGAGTCCCGTTCAAGTGATAAGGTATTTGATAAGATTTTTTAAGATTCTCTCTTGGTTCTTCAATCCGTAGTCAATGTAAGCTCATAGACCTGACTAGTTCCTTGAACTCAAGCCTTTTTTACATGTTCTGCTAAATCTTACAATGCATTGTAATCCAGGCTCGAGAGGCAATATCGACTGTGGCCGATCTTGCACCTCAGAGCGCTGTCCTCATGGACGGACAAAGAGTTGCTGTGGAGGATGTAAGCATAGGGACATTGCTTGCAGTGAAAGCAGGAGAACTCATTCCAATAGACGGATTAGTAGATTCGGGAAAGAGCTCCATAGATGAGAGCAACGTTACAGGCGAATCCAAGCCTGTAGAAAAAACTGATGGAGGTCTGGTATGGGCTGGCACAATGAATCTTTCAGGTATACTGTTGACGTCAGCAATCACCTCGGGCTGTTTTCTAGAAAGCACAAGGCATATCACCTCGCTAACTCCAGGCAACTGTCTCTGCAGGTTATATAACCATGAGGACCACGGCCTTGGCTGAGGACTCGGCCGTTGCCAGGATGGTACGACTCGTCGAAGATGCTCAAAATCAGCATTCTCACACAGAGCAGATTGTTGAGAAAATTGCCAAGTACTATACTCCAAGTAGGCCTCAAATCTTCTGCGTTGACTTCCTCTTAGCATGTAGACCCATTTTAATTCCTGCAGAAGCAACTAGAAAGAAAAATATTTTGCCAAATTAAAGTGATTAACTTGCGGAATGTGCCCGTGTCAGACATATGTTGATGGACATTAAGTTTCACACCTTAATTCCATCAAGGAAAACAACGTAAGTATTTATGTTCAGTTCGCTGTTGTGCAGTAATCGTGGTAGCGGCTTTGCTCGTAGCGACCATACCCTGGGCCGTAGGTGTTCACAATCCAAAACATTGGATGTACTTAGCTCTTGTGCTCCTCGTAGTGGCGTGCCCCTGCGCGTTGGTGATATCAACACCTGTGACAACAACATGTGGGATCGCTCAGGCTGCTCGAGCAGGATTAATAGTAAGAGGAGGAGGCTACTTGGAGATGTTAGGGAAAGTCAATGTGGTTGCTATGGATAAGACTGGGACATTGACGGAGGGACACTTCCGGGTTTTAGATGTCCACTCTATGGACAGTACAATCGATTTAAAACGTATTTTATATTGGTACGTAGCTTGATGCGGAAGCCAGCTCAAGGAGTAAGGAAATTTGTCAGAAGTGATTATGTCCCCAGTATTCTTCCAAACAGTCTGCTATGAATTTGTGACCTTCAGCTTCAGTAAGCTTAAGTAGTGTGGACAGTATCGTTAAAGATCTCATTTCTGAAATGTCGATCCTTACGTTCGCCCTTACGTTGATGCAGTATCTGTATTTGATATTTTTCCCAGTAGCAACAAGTCCACGGTACATAAACTAACGACATCTGTGTTCTCCCAATGCCATTGAGAGGATTTTCCAGGGTTGCTTGTGTTGAGAACAAATCTAGCCACCCGCTGGCACCAGCTCTCGTAAATTATGCTCGGCTCTTTGGAATCGAGCCCACCGGGGATGTGACAGATTTTGAAATTATTCCAGGGGAGGGTGTATCTGCGCTAGTTGATGGTCAGAAAGTGAAGATAGGAAACGCTCGTCTGGCTGCACAATTTAGTGGGTTTCAAGGTGAATTTATGTTCCCTAATCAGGTCCTTCCAGGCAATTCATATGTCTAATAGTCCATCTCAGATTTGGTTGCCTGCGAATGGCTGCTATTGGGAATTACAGGTCTCACCATTTGAATTCCATAAATTCTTTCAGGCTTCTGGAAGGAGAACTTATACTCAGTAAAATTCTCCTGGTTTGCAGATATTCAATCCAACGAGATAGTGGAGCAGTGGAGTAGTCAAGGAGCCACAATTGGATGGGTTGCCGTCAACGAAAGACCACTCGGTATCTTTGGAGTGGCTGACTCGCTTCGACCTGAAGCAGTTGAAGCTGTATCTGATCTGAAGGTAAATTCTTTGCCGATTGTGGCCCGGGTCGTGCAACGCTTTAACGCTTCAACTGAACTATATTGATTCTTCATACGCTGAGAACATGCTGATGACGATTGGGTTCCCTCACATGCTGTGTCGCAGAAAATGGGAGTCCAAGTTGTGATGCTGACAGGTGATAGTGATGCTGCAGCTGCAGCTGCGCATAGAAAGGTAAGTGGATTTTACAATATTTTATATGCATGTGTCGTTGTATGCAAATACTCGCTTCACCAAAACCCTGACATGGCGCATCAACAGTCCCTTGATAACAATGTGGGCTGGTAACAGATTGGAGAAATCGACGTTTACGCGCAGCTCCTACCAGAAGATAAGGTCAATTGTGTCAAGGATTTGAAAAAACGTGGTGTTACTGCTATGGTGGGGGATGGTATAAATGACGCACCAGCTTTGGCAGTGGCAGATGTAGGCCTGGCGATGGGAGTCGCAGGTTCAGCTGTTGCAATGGAGACAGCAGATGTAGCACTAATGACAAATGATCTTCAGAAGCTGGTCGTGGCAATCAAACTGGGAAGAAATTGCAGGAGGAAAATCATACAGAACGTGTTTTTATCGTTCTTTACTAAACTCACCATAATTATTATTGCCGCCGCAGGATATCCAAGTCTGTGGGCAGCAGTGTTGGCAGATGTTGGGACCTGCCTGGTTGTGATTTTTAACAGCATGCGGCTTCTTAACAGGAAAAAGGGTGTAGTCTTGCCCAAATTCGAAGCAAAATCCAAGCACCAGCACAAAAATCAGGGCCACCATGATCATCACGACGACTTGTGCAACAACGAGGATCACCATGTTAGGCAGCATCATCACCAGCCTGGCAAGCACGACGATAGTCATCATGATCATCAACATGTAGTTGGGAAGAAAGACCCCGATCACCATCATCATCACACTGGAGATTCGACCGACAGTCATGATCATGATCATAACCATGGCTATCACCGTCTCGGAGTGAAAGTTCCGTGCTGGCCTCGTCGACAACACAGCCGTGAGAGGAAAGAGAGAGCAGGTTCAAGCAAGAAATGTTGCTCTGGATCAAAACCCGTGCGGAGGGACTTATGCGGGCAGGACTCTGGCCTAAGCAATATGTGCTGCGCGGAACCTGGATCAGAAAACAAGGGTATGTCAGAATCGAGGCCTTCTGCGGCGAGAAAATGCTGCTCAGGAGCAGTTTCAGGAACGAATTGTTCCAGTAGTCATAAGACTGATAGTAAGGGCTACAACGGTAAACAAACTGCTCCAAGCATTGGATTATGCTGCACAGGACCAGAATTGGCTAGAAAATGTTGCACAGAACTAATCGCTGGAGGGCACGACCACCACAATCATGCCCAAGGAAGAAAGGTTGACATATTGCGAGCTCTGTCGATTGAAGAGAGTGTCGCGTTGCCACCTGGTTGCGAGGACAATATAGCGAGTACACCCAGAGTTGTCAGAAGAAATTCAAACTGTTATTCTGCATTGAACTCTGGTCTTCAACGATCGAACAATGATAGTCCGACCTACTCTTCAGATAAGGTGGGTGTCAATTGTTGCGATAAAGAGCTTTCCATGTTTCCTGGCATTTCCGTGTGCAGCAAGTAGTTACTTGTCGTTGCAGTGTATCAGTCTAAAATTTGGGCAAACATGGCTTTGAGTGTTAAAGGCTTTGACTCAAGCAATCAAAGTATAAACCTGAATATATTTCTAGATTTCATCATGGCACTCAAACGTAGGAGGAAGTAGATTTGTTGATCAAGAAAAAGGAAAAATGCAGGAAAAGAATTTCAAAGAACTATAGCATAGGAACATTTGAAAGATCTCTCGCTAACGTGTTTTCACCATAATTTCCTGAATATCACATGCTTTTCATTTCTTCACTTCATTTGGGCACCATTTTTTTCCGCTTTACAAGATTTAGATAAGAGAAGCTTTTTATCCATAATAAGAAACTGAATTGATACATATGACCACAAGTATTATAGAAAAATCGTTCAAACTTTTTTTCCCGACGTCCTTATATTGTAATGTTATTGTAATCCATTTGAAATCATAAGCGATTAAGCAACTCGCAGTGTTAGAGGATATAAATTACCCGGAAAATGTTCCATATGATCTATCCAATATTCCAAGCATGATAACGCCATTCTTTTGTAGCCAACTTTGTAGAATTCTCTCAGACTCAGTAAAGACACAGTAGAAAAAACTTCAGAAGTGTATCTTTGACTTAGAAGACCCAGTGAGGAGAAGGCAACAGCCTTCTCTCATTATACGGAGGTCCCAAAATTTAAAGATCCTAGAATCAGGAGATATCATCTCAATCGAACAATAAGATGTTATTACGACTTAGTTTGCTGTATTGTTTGTGATAAGTTTACTTATTCTTTTTTATTTTTTAGAAGAGTTATTTGTAGTCCTTCGGGAGAATGAGTTGAATTAGCAAATTGATAAGATTGTTTGAAGTAGACTCTGAATTCATGGACTAAATTTAGCTGATTCTTGATAAGATGTTCCTTCAATCAGAACTTACTTATAATCATACTTCCAACTATATGTGTGTGCGTGTTCAGGTTGCATCGGGAGTAAACGTATAAACTTGAAAGAAACCTTGTACATAGTGTTCTTGTAATGTGAACGTCTATCACTGTCTGTTGTAGCCGGATAGGGGTTTGAGACGGGAGGGACTCATAATAGCCGTGTACTATCTCTTTAGGGGATAACCACTTTTGAAGAGGTACACTACTTTGTGTGAGCTTTGGGTAAGTAGATTGAATTAACTAGTTTTTTTCAAGGTTTACTTAGTAGAAGGATTCGTTTTTTATTTTCGTAAGGAGACGAGAGATCCAAATATGTGATATCTTTCGTACTGGATGTTTTTTTATACTTGTATACTATTCTGTTGAAAAGTGGTAGAATCTTCGAGCACTTACCTAGTGTTGCAGAATTCTGTTCAACGTCTGGTTAAACAAACTTGTATTATGTTAGATCGCTGTGTCTGTTTGCTAAACTCCGCGAATTGCTGCGATGATGTCATAAGCACAACGTTTGCACTTGGTGTGGTACCGTTACTTCTTGGCTGGGCCATAGACTCATTTCAAGGCAGTCAGCCCTTCAGTCACATCACTTTAACCGAATAGTTCATGTTGAAAAGGAGATATATGTTTAACTTGCAAATATACGGTCGATGGTTCTGCTCATAAGCATTGCGATTTATCAAGCAGACTGATCTTTATTCTTTTCCTGATATTTGCACTGATCGTGTACAGACAAGTTAAGTCTGTTAGCTCACTGCAGTCACCATTTCTACTATCCTAGTGGCGATTAAAGAACAACATTGGTCGTCGTTTTATGAACTCCACATTGATAAAATAATGACAAATGGTGTAATGTAGAAAGTCATGCAAAAAGAGTTTCTTGCTGAATCCTTGAAATATCATTATAAGTAATTTCATCTGCATACCAGGTTACAGATTACATGCAATGAACATATAAATATTCGAAAAATATCATGTCTGTCACTAATTGTTCAAGTTGAACGTACATGGATGATTAAAGTATTCAAATCTTTTAATGTATAATGGTATTTTTTCAATCCAATTTTTACTATATTCATATCATATGTTTATGCAAATTTGATCTACGAATATATCAATACTTGAAGTTCAAACATGAAAAGTTAATAGAAAATGAAATACCATCAAGTTTTTTTTTAAATCACATAATTGTTATTATCATTAATTACATTATCAGATGTCATATATATATATATATATATATATATATATATATGCTAAGTCCAGAATCAATGAAACCATGTGCATGTCAGTCCATAAATTTTTCTAGATTACCATTACTTCTTGTATTAAATATATTATAACTAAAAACCTTCAATTCTCAAGCATTGATCTATTAATGTATTTCTAATAGTTTAATTATGAAGAAATTTACCTTGTTAAAAAAAGGTTAACTTCATAGTATAATAGACTAATAATATTTGCTTATTGTAAATAATGCTTTAAAAATCCAAATTAGTCGCATTATAATTTTACAAATTTTTAAATTTAAGTTTTTATATGTGATAATACATCTTTAACAATTATACCCGTCTTTGTATGAAGTAGTAGTTTAAGTATTGAGTGTCATAGTTTATGCAACACACATTTTACAATCATTTTGTTGTGATCTTGTAATTCAGACATTATTATTTTAAAATAGAAATTTCAATGTAAATTTTCTAAATATGTATCTCTATATACCACATATTACAATTAGGATTTTTAGAAAATTTGGAAAAAGTTTGATTTTGAAAAAATACATGATAATATTTCTTCCAAATTTTCAAACAAACATGAATTTATTGAATATATTTATATATATAAAAACTGTAAATGATAAAAGAAAAGATGTTCAATAAATGTAAGAGATGACAAAAAACAATTTTTTTATTTTATTTTATTTTTTTATATTTTTTATATTTTTTATATATTTTTATATATTTTTTATGACAATGAAAAAATATTAATTTTTAAATAAGCAAAGCATTTTATAAGTAAAATTTTATCCTAATAGTGATAAAAGTTTAAACATTTATATTAATTTCAATATTTTTTAAGAATTAAATTGATTATTTTTCATGAAAAATTGAATATTTTCCATAATATATCAAAATATTTACAACCCATTGATGCAAAAATCTAGTAATTTTTTTTGAAATTTATTTTAAAATTAATATTAAAATTTTAATTTATGGATATTGATTAAATTGTACTCAAAAATATGAAAATGTTATAAATATAGAATACAGATTATTAATCAAAATGAAGCAGAAAGTTTTGCAAAGAATTGTTTTACAAATTGTATATCACCTTGAGCTAATGAGTTTCAAGGTGGAAAAACTTAGCACAAAAATCCAAGATCTCATTGATGCTTTTGGTGATCTCGTTATTCATCTTTATACAAGGAGTTAATTAACAATAAAATTATGATTTATCTCTTGACTTCATTATTTGCAATCCATCGATCATTGTTATGTGTGTTGTTTCATTGTGATAAGCAACAAAACATTAATAAGAAAATTGTTGTATGAATTTTGTTGACCGATAATTTTTAGTAAAAGATGAGGATGTCATTTCTCTCCATAATCTTCTTCTAATACAGCCTTGATTATGATTTAAGATTCATTATATTCAAAAAATAATAAGTACGACAAAAATTTTGAAATTGAAAATAGATACAAATCTATGAATAAATACTTAGAAGAAAGATAATAGTTTGTTAAAAATATGACAATAGTGATCAAGTAAAAAAATACTATTGTGTAAAGATCAAAGATATTGATTCTTTTTTCAACCAACATGATTCAAAAGTTTGATATCAAGTTGCATGATTTGTTCAATTATGAAGTATAATATTGGTGATATGGCCTATGCAACTCATCAAGTAATGTTGATGATGTCTAGATAATGCATGCTACTATCTCATTTATTATATTTAGGATTTTTTCCGTAATATCATCAGTTAATTTTTTATGATGAATGATCAATCTTGTAATATTGAAATATTAGATCTTTCAAGATTTAAATGTTTTATGGAGTCTTAATTATTGTTAATAAACTTCACATAAGTGCGTCAGATGAGTGAAGAATCAATATCGTGTTTTAAGAGATGATCAAATAATGTCAATTGAGCTCCTGTAAGGTATGAATTATGTGTTCATTCATCTATTTAACAAAATCAAAATATTGGTATTGAGTATGATGATGGCATTATGTTGATGTTGAAAGAATAAAAATCTTATTTTTTTATGAAGAAGCTCAAATTTTTGTCAATAAGTTTGATTGAAATACTCATAGCTATGAAGGGTGATATGCAATCACTAATGGATAATCGAAGCTAGAAACTAATGTAATTTCCAAAATTTCAAACTTTGATTGATAATTAGTTGATGTACAAGCTTAACAAAAATCAGATAGATGAATAAAAAATATCTTCAAAGCTAGATTGATGGCTAGAGGTTTCATAGAAGAACAAATATATGGATTACAAGATTTATCAATTTGAAAATATGCTACAAATTTATTGATGAGTGTACTTGTTGCAATTTATTATTTGATCATGAATGAGATGAATTTAGTTAAAGAATTATTCTATGAAATTTTTAACAGACTATTTTTAAAATCTAGTTAGTTTTGCAAGAAATATTAAAAAGTTGATTTGTAAAACTTTTGTAAACATTATATGTATTGAAAGAAATTTCTAGACAATGAAATGCTAGATTTGATGAGTTCATGAAAGCATACATAATTTTTATGTATAATCACAAAGAATTTGAATAATGATATTTTTATCTCATTATTTAATATTTTACGAGAATGACATGTTCATTTTGGCAAAGAATCAATTTGACGTCAAGAGAATTAAAATTTGAATTAAAATATGAAAATTTTGAATAAATGTAAGAATACATTATGGATGGATATTCATAGAAATTTTTAAAAAAACTTTAGTTAAACAAGTCAAATACATTCAGCGTGTGCTTGACATGTATAACATGACATACTCTAAGAGAATATGTAATTATTTGACTGCACACTTTAAACTTTTTGCAGCTCAATGTCTAATTAATGATATTGGAAAAGAAAAAAATATCATCAGTTTGATATGACAAATGTTCTTTATGTGTTTGATGATCAGCACAAGATCTATTATTTCTTTAACTGGGGCAAGGTGATTTGATATCCAAGAATTGTACTTTGAAAATTAGTGAAATGAATTCTCAAATATTTGAATAGAATACTAAAAATTATAATACGTTGTTTAATGGCTTATAAAATCATCTCAAATTCTTGTCATGTTATATTGTTATTAATTGTAGACAATTTGAGATTTAAATCAAAAATCAAATCAAAATTTAAATTCAATCATTTATTTAAATCAAAAAAATTTACAACCATGTATGTATTTACATTTGATGATGAACGCATAAGCGGAATTATGCACAAATTTGTAGCAAAGTCCACAACAAAAATTGAATATGTAACAATAGTAGAATCAGCAAAAGAAACTATTTGGTTGAGTGGATTTATCATTGAGATTGAAATCAAAGATGATGTTCTTATTTTTTGTTGTGATAGTCAAAGTGAATTACACATTACTGCACATTAAAATAATTTGAACCCTAAACCATAAAAAAAATATAAAAAATCAATGCAAAAAATTACTTTTTCAAGATAATTTTTATATATTAAAATGTATTGTCTATATATTTTGTATGTAAAATAATTTTCAGTTTATATTAGATCTTCTTTAAATTTATTCAAATAATTTAAAACACGTAAAATTTCAAAATTTATTTGATCATATCACAGATTTTTTAACTATTTTGATGTTACATTAAATACAAATGCTTTAAATATATTTAATAAATTTTATGTTTCTAAATTTTGTAATTTATTTTTCAAAGAATGTTCAATTCCATAAATTGAAATCCTTATGAAATTAATAATCAGGTATAAAAAACATTTTGCATTATTTATCAAGAAAATCATTTTATTCATCATTTGATCAATCAACATCAAAGCACAAAATAGAATAATACTTGATTCACATTGTATATGTTGTATTCATCAGAATACAATATTTTCTTATGGAAAATCCTAATTGTGATATTAAAAATTATGATAATATTTTTGATTTGGTGACAATGATATTTGACTAATTAATTTCAAAAAAAATAGCTAGAGTTAATCGGAGTTAGTTTTTAACAATTTGGCCCTTGATTCATATCTTTGTTCAAACTTTCATGTTCTATATTATCACTTTAACAAAAATTATAAAAAAATATAACATTCATCATCATGTAAATTAAATTAATTAGAATTAAATTATAACCAAAACAAGTTCAAGTATAATCATATCT